TAGCTATAGACATATATATATATAGACATTAAAATAGTTATACATGTAGGTATTTACATACATATCATAGCTGTAATTATTGAGAGGGCCTAGAAAAATGATACCCTGATAACAATGAGTTTTGGTTTCTAAGTATACTCGCCATTAAAAGAAACCAGAACTCTTAAAGAAATGACAGTTTCCTGGAACTGGGATTGGAAACCATAAGATGAGGTTGAAACATCTTGTTTTTTTAAGAAACAAATCAGATGAACATAGGGGAAGGGGAGGAAAAATAAAATAAGATAAAGGCAGAGAGGGAGGCAAACCATAAGAGACTCTTAAATATAGGGAACAAACTGAGGGTTGCTGGAGGGGTGGTGGGTGGGGGGACGGGGTAACTAACTGGGTGATGGGCATTAAGGAGGGCACTTGATATGATGAGTACTGGGTGTTATATGCAAGTAATGAATCACTAAATTCTACCCCTGAAACTAATACTACACTATATGTGAACTACCTTGAATTTAAATAAAACCTTGAAAGAAAAAAAAAAGGATACATCTTGTTTTACCAGATAAGGAAGTGCTCAGAGAATTGTGGACACATTTCAAAAGAATACAGGAACCAACGTGAAGGGAAGGCCTTGCAAAATTCAGGCCAAACTGAGCACTGAAATTAATAATAGTAATAATGGATTGTAACCCAATGAATAAAATAAGAAGTTGTGAGTTCAAATGTATTTAAATAAACCAAGGGATAAATAAATACATTAGTTATTTTATTTATAAAGCTATTCCTTTGAGTAGAATGCCAATGGATAAATTAGAAGAAATGATGGTGTTAGAAAATCACCAGGTGACAACCATAATAATAAGAATTGATTTAGGGGGGCACCTGGGTGGCACAGTTGGTTAAGCAACAGCTCTTGGTTTCGGTTCAGGTCATGATCTCAGAGTGGTAAGATTGAGCCCCACGTCAGGCACTGCACTCAGTGCAGAGTCTGCTTAAGTTTCTCTCTCCCTCTCCCTCTGCCCCTCCCCCAACTGCCTCCCTCTCCCCCTCCCTCAAAAATAAATAAATAAATCATAAAAAAGAAAGAATTAATTTAGGAAGGAATTATCAACTGATGCTAAACCTAGTGGTATAAGTTTGTGAAGGAATAGGATATCCATATAATATCAATGTATCTTCTTATAAGAACTTAACAATGAAAAAAGGGAAAACAGTGATTTTGCACAGGAGAAATCCAACACACACCACCTTAACCAGTATCAATGTTAATACTTCCCATAATGAATCAAATCAATATCAAGTGTCTCCTGATATCAGATACGGAGAAGAACAAAAACATAATGTGTTATTCTTGCAAAAAAATTGCATAACTTGAATTTTATCATGAAGAAACAAAGTAAAATTTAAAGGGAATCCTAATATACCTGGCCTCCAATTACATTTAGGTCATGGAAAACAAAGGTAGGGTAGGAACCATTACTGAACTGAATCTTTGACTTGAAAGATTTTTTTTCTATAGAGCGACTGTTTTGCAAATTGTTGAGATTGAATAAATTTATCAATTAGATTGGCAGTAAATGAACTTTTTTTTTGTTTTGATTGGTAGTGTTTACAAGAATCTGTACATAAGATAAAATTGCATAGAACTATACACACACACATAATATATGGAAAAATCATGAAAACTGAGTAAGTTCTGGTTGTGTAGTTAATAGCGTCGAACAAATACCATTTTTGTAGTTCTGCTATTGTACTACTATAACATATCACCATTGGGAAAAATGGGGTGAATGGCACACAATACTCTATATACTATTTTTGCAATTTTCTACATGTTTATAATTATCTCCACATAAAGATTTTTTTTAAAACTTTATGGACACTCAAGTTTGATATTTATATAATTTTCATGTACCATGGAGTATTAATATTATTGTTATTTTTTCATCAGTTTAAAAAGTTAAACATCATTCTTAGCTCATGTACCACACAAAACCAGCTGGCAGGCTAGATTTGGCCCAGGGTCATTGTTTGCTGACAGGTAAACTAAATAGTATTATTTCCCCATGTCAATAATTGTATTCTGATTATGGTAAAACAATATCATTGAGTGATTTTAAGAATGACAAAATGAAATGTTTAGGGGTAAAGAAACATAGTATCTGCACCTTCCTCTCAAACAGTTCTCCCTCTCTTTCTATATATATATATATATAATACACAGAGAGAGAGAGAGAAATGATAAAGCAAATATTGTAGGATGTTACTGGGGTAAAGGCTTAAAGAAAATTCCTTGTGTGCTTCTTGCAACTTTTCTATAAGTTTGAAATGGTTCCAAAATAAAAAGTATTTACACACACATATAAATCCAATATTTGCTTAAAAACCCAGAGAAAGGGGATAAGTGGGTATAGATAATCAAACAATGAACTGGTAATTATTTAAGCTGAGTGATTGGTACATCAGGTTTCATTAAATATTATCTTTCAGTTTATGAGTATTTGAGGATTTCCAAAATGAGAAGTTTATATATGTAAACACACAGAGATCAGAGTTGCAAAAGTTTGTGGAAATCCTTACAGTGTCATTGACAGCAGATAATACAATCTTGGGGGTAGGAGAAAAAAGGGAGATGTTTTCCCTTTTTTCACAATTAGCAAGAGAAATTTTTTTTAAAAAAATCATATCACCTGACCCAGTAATTTTATTTTCTAGAATTTATTCTGTGAAACCTAGATATATGTACACACATGTTTTTAAATTTACAAAATAGTTGGGCGCCTGGGTGGCTCAGATGGTTAAGCATGGAGCAGGGAGCGGGGAGCCTGCTTCTCCCTCTGCCTCTCTCTCTCTCTCTCTCTGTCTCTTATGAATAAATAAAATCTTTCAAAAAAAACATAAAATAGCAACTTGGAGTGTACATGGTGCATCAAAAGAAATCAACATAAAAATGATGAATTTTATGGCTCCAAATTAGTAAGACAAATAATAAAAATGTTAACAGTGGTCACCTGTAGGAGGTAACAACAGGGAAAACCATTCTTTCCGCTTATACTTTTCCATAGTTTTTGGAAATTTCTAAAATATTTATTGTCACAAAATAACACATTAAATAATCTTTTTAAGATTTCTCAATTTCCTGGGAAGGCAGATTAGTTTTAAACCTGTCAATTTTCTGAGCATTCATCAGTATGAGCAGAACTTCTAAACTAAGGCAACACTGCATCAACTTTATACATACCAATGAAAATTAGAATCAATTTTTATAAATAAACATTCAATCTAATATAAACATGCATATGAGACACTAGCACCCTTCCTATTGTGGAAAAAAATTAAGGTGCTAAGGAATTACCTGGGAAAACTAGAAGCAGGACTTTGTTGTACATCTACAGATATGTGCCTAAAACCTTGATGGCAGAGGTCAAAATCTGAAAAGATTTAAACCTGAACCAGACTGAAATACAGGCTCATCCCAGTGGGAGTGGGTAGAAGTTAAAAAGCCTGACCCACAGACAGGGTTTGGTACACACCTGTCTAACATAGAACCAAAAGCAGCACCCACTGTGATCCAAGCCAGAGAAGCACCAACAGCTAGAGGTTTACTGCAGTGACAACACTCCACCCAGGAAACAGGTACTATTTACCCCTAGGATGTAGATGGGCTGGGAGTACAGCCCTCAGCTAGGAGCCCTTGGGCTATATTATGGCTCTGAACCAACAGGAAAGAGAACATTTAGATAGGAAAATAAGGCTGAAACCAGCTGTCACAATGGCTGGTGATATGGACCAATGATATGCTATGCTCAACCATGGCAGAAAAATCTACACAAAGGGGGGAAAAACCTGTAATAGGTTTACTGAGGAGTTTCAACTCACTCGAGTAGAAATGAAATGGTTTTCTCTTCTCAGACACTAATTTTAGCCCTCTTTCAGAGCCTTAAAAACATTTCAGGCAAACTAAAAAAGTTCTGATTATTTTCAGCCCTAAAATGGTCATCATCCTCCAGGCCTTTTCTAAACTAGTTTAATGGCTGAGTCTATGGCCCAGAGAAGAAAAGGTCAGCAATCCTTCATTGATCAAGCCAGACATCAGCTCTCCTTTGCAGGCACCTCAAACCTCAAGAGGCTCTTTTGCAGCGTCCCCTTTACCTGTCTTGGATTGGAACAGTTTTCCTACTCTTTCACAAGGACAATAGTGAAATGCCTCTCATGATTCACTGAGTTCTCCTCATGATGTAAAAGTCTCCCTTGATTCTATCTTTCCCTTTCTTGATGTTTTCTTTATATAGAAATGTGGGGAGAAGGTGCAAGGAGGAGTGGTGATTGATATTACTAAGAAGACTTAAGGGAGGGATGGCTGACCCTAATAATTGTAGTTTGTTTGTTTGTTTGTTTTTAAAGAGGTGCTAGCTAGTGTCTTTTATGTTCAATTTGGAATCTTCAATTCCTATATTCTGAATCAACAGGAAAAGTCAAGCTCAACATCGTCTACAAAGAGAACCACTATGAACTTGGCACTATGCCCGGTGCTTTGTGCAACTTACTGAATCTTTATAATAACACCAGGAGCAGTGTTTAATTACTTCCTTTTTGCAAATAAGGAAACTGCAGTTTAGAAAAAATAAATAACTTCCTCAATATTAATTTAAGTAGTTTGTGATACAGCAGAATTTATACTCCTGCTTCTCTATTCCCAAAACTTACGTGCGATTATTTTCTATTATGTTTTCACACAGGACGCAGAAACGCTCATTTCAGATATCACCATGGATGAGATTCTAATGGAATTCATTGTCTTTGTGAGATGTGAATCAGAACCTATTACAATCCGAGTTTATGGCAGACTATTGTTCTTGGTAATTATAGCTAAGCTGGGCCAGTGAAGGCAAAGAACAAAAATCTTTCTTTATAAACTTTGCTTTCCCCAAAGAAGGTCCTCAATGCTGGCCCAATGATGCCATTTGTATTCTTTATACACTAAAGACTTACATTTCCCTTTGGTTTTATTGCTTAACAGCTTTCCAATTCAGCAAATATTTCACAGCAGCTTTAACATCCTTATTTCTCAAGCTATAGATTATAGGATTTAGCATGGGGGTCACTACCCCATAAAACAGGGAAATAAGCCCTTCTGTAGCTTGCAGATTGTCATTCCCAAGGCGGTCTTGAGACTTGGGCTTAGCATACATGAAGAAGATGGTACCATAAAACATGATCACCACAGTCAGATGCGCTGAACAGGTGGAAAAGGCTTTGCGTCTCCCTGTGGCTGAGTTCATTCTCAAGATGGTGTAGAGAATGAACACATAGGAGAAAAAAATGACCAGCAGTGGAAGAACCAGGAATGCCATATTTGATATCACCATGGTGATAATATTGAGGGATATGTCAGCACAAGCTAGCTTAAGGACAGCTAATATCTCACATAAGAAATGATTAATAATATTATTCCCACAGAAAGGCAATCGCATGGCAAGAGATGTTTGCACAATTGAGTTGATTCCACCGGAGAGCCATGACACAGAAGCCATCAGTACATACACCACCTTGCTCATGATGACAGGGTATCTCAGGGGGCTACAGATGGCTACATAGCGATCAAAAGCCATCATGCCAAGGAGCAAACACTCTGTTGAGCCCATTGCAAACCCAAAGAACATCTGTACTGCGCATCCAGAGAAGGAAATGTTCCTTTTCTTTGAAATTAAGCTCACCAAAGTTGAGGGAACAGAGGAGGATGTATAGCAGATGTCCAGGAAAGAGAGGTTGCCCAGGAAGAAGTACATGGGGGTGTGAAGACGGGAATCAAAGGTGCTTGCTATGATCAGAACACCGTTGCCAGTTAGAATCACTAGATACATTACTAGAATTAGAGAAAAAAAAATGATCTCAAGTTTCGGGTAACCAGAGAGTCCCAGAAGAATGAATTCTCTCACAAATGTCTTGTTTATCCTATCCATATCCCAGCTTTCAGGATATCAAAGGAAGACCTAACAAAATATTTTCACTGTCAAGCAACAAATGTAACAAATGCTTTGCATAAACATTATTCTGGGGTGAAATAGAGTGTTTTCTTTGAAGCTCTGTCATCTGCTTCTGTCATCTGTTGTTATCCTCAATGATGTTTATGCCTAGAATACAATACCAGGATATTGAGAGTTTCTATGCCTTGTGTCTAATGTGTGAATATCTACCTAGGATCAAAAGCAAGTTCAGAAGCAACCTTCCCTACTGCTGAAGACACTCTAAGTAGAGTCTTCTAAAAGCCCTAGAATATTTCAGACAACAAACCATTTCTTCATTTTAATCAGGTCCAGTGAGAGAGTGATGGGGAAGGCAAAAGAAAACTCAACAAGGACTGGAATTTTGATTCAGTGTTTAACAGAAATGTTTAAACGTGTAAAGCAAATTTTATTTGTATGCATATTTGCCTACCTCACATTCTTTTCAGTCAAATTGTGTGTTTTTACGGGGCAGACATTTGATCATATTAAACTGAATCATTACACAGCAATTTAAAATCTGCTCAAAGGCAAAGTTAGTTGAACTCACAGTCATGGCCCACTCTTACTATTTTGCTTTTTCCTATAATAAGACCAGCGTACAGACCAGCTGTGCAAGAATCTGATGGAGAATCTTTGAAGAACAATAATATCTCTTCATTTGTTTTATTCTCTGGCTTCAGAGTTATTTTTCATAATTTATTTACTTAAGTGAACCTGAGAAAACAGTAATAATGCTTAAATATATTTGTGTATACAGTGTAGCACTTTATACTTTATTTTAAAAAAACAAATCAATCTTCTCATTATCCTTATTTTCTTTTCAAATGTGAATGACAGGATGTGGCCAAAGTTATCCAGCCTGTAAGTAAAAAGTAGAGCTTGAAGCTCAGATCTTTGCCAATAAACTGCAGCTGTTGGGGCTACAACACAAGTCAGTACACCTTGTTTTCCCACTGACTAGCATCCAGAAATTTTGGCCTTGGTGGAATAATACAGAATCAACTATTCCAGTCTTCCAAAATTTTCACATGCACATAAATTACCTGGGGATCTTGTTAAAATGCAGATTCTCTTTTAGTAGGTCTGGGGCAAATCCTGTGATTCTTCATTTCTTTTTCTTTTTTTTTACGATTTTATTTTGAAGTAATCTCTATACCCAATGTGCGGCTCAAACCTACAACACCGAGATCAAGAGTCACATATACTCTACCGACTGAGCCAGCCAGGCATCCCTGTGAGTCTGCATTTCTAATAAGCTTCAAGTGTATGTCAAAGTAGTTGGCATGAGGCCACATTTTGAGTAGCAAGGCTTTAGTTTACTTATAGTGAGTTGGCAGACTATCCAGATGTTTGTGATCCAAATAGATTCCCTTTTCTTTTATTAAATGGACTAGCTTAACAACCTAGAAAATAACCAGAAGCATACTTCTTTTGTGTTTTCCAGTAAACAAATTCCAGAGCCATATCTCACTGTTCAGTACAATTCAGAAAATAATACAATTGAAAGACAAATTTCATAAAAGAAATATGAATTTTTGCTGGACTACTATTAATATATGTAGGATATTACAGATAGCCTAACTTGAGCTCATTTCTGTTCCGAGATGAGTAAGGATAGGACAAATATAACAAATGTCTATAATCCAAAAATCCACAATTTGATAAGGGGAACAGTAAAACTACATATGGAACAATTAGATACAGACTATAAATACCTTGTGTGACCAGAGTGAACATTACAAGTGTTCACAAAGGAGGAGGCTAATAAGAAATAAAGTCAAGGGAGAGTTCTAGAAGAATTTCGGACAGGCTGGATCTGTAAACATTGAAAAGTTGAGGCAGGTTTGGAAGACAAGAGGGGGAAGGAGTATTCCAGAAGGGAGAAGAGGTTGAGCAAAGTTTAGTAGTAAGCATATTGGCAGTACCTCCTTTTCAGACAAGGCAGTTTCTGTGGAGGAATGATGGGAAGCACATTTGAAAGGATAAATGAAGCAAGCATATAGAAAGGTCCAAAAGTGAGGCAGAGAAATTGGCACTTCTTTTTGGGTGAAGGGGCCCATCATTAGAAGCACCAAGTACAAGGTGAGTGTTTAGACCTGATGATTTTAGCTACCCTCCAAACTTTACATCATACAGTTTGATTTTATCAGGTTTTTGAGCAGATATGCAATATGAGGAATTAAAATGTTTGGTTGAGTGGTCAACTATTGATTTTGGTTCAGGTCATGATCTCGAGCCTTGAGCTGGTCTCTGCAGTGAGTGGGGTCTGCTTAAGGATTCTCTCCCTCTCCCTCTGCCCCTCCCCTTGCTCATGCATTCTCTCTCTCTTTCTCTTTCTAAAAATAAATCAATCACTCTTTAAAAAAATCTGTATAGAAAACGTGTCAACAACAGAAAATGGCCAGCAAGAAAATGGCCAGTATCTGTGGATATACTGAAGTCACAGAAGCAAAACTTGACTGAATGCAGTTAACAGTATACAAAGAAAATGGGTCAGTCTTGAGGATTTAGTACTTCTTTTCATGGAGGAAGGTTCAGGACTATGGAATTAAATCATATGCCTGGAATATGCTATTTCTCCGAAATGATTCTACACTCACTGTACACTACTTCTTAGGATAAATCAAAGTTCTCCCAAAGTGGGGCTCAGAAACTAGTCAAGGAGTACTTTCGATAAGTGACAAGGGCAGTCTCATTGGCCCAGGCATGAACACAAAAGAAAGAATATAGTAATACACTGATTTACCAGGAAATGTGATGATGTTCCAGATCCAGCCTGTTTGGCATCTAGGCCTGGGAGAGACTATTGGCTTCCCTTCCCCCCCCAAAAAAGTAGTGACAGTATATCTTAAACCACTTCTGCTACATGCTTTAAGCCTTCCCCTCCTGGACATAAATTCCCTCACCAATTCAAATCCACCTCGAGCCAGACCTGTCTTGCTGCCTTTATTCTTCTCCCAGAAATCTAAATTGGTTATTTTGTATATTGTTAAGATAACAAGAGACATAAGGAAGAAACTTTTCTGTCTTGCTCACCACTACTCACGGATGGCCTAACAAAGGGGCTGCACATTATGAATGGGTTTTGACTAAATAGATAAAGGTTTACTTTCTACACTCTTAAGAAATTTCTCTGTAGAGTATTTGTGGATTTATATTCAAGAGCATTTTAACATGCCCAAATTGTTCATTTGCAGCAGGATCTAAGTTTCAAAAAAATATATCTTTAAGTCAGCACTAGATGCCATCTTATATAGAAATTTACCAATTTATGTAGTGAAAGTGCAGTAGGATTGCCTAATACTCACTTGAATGGATATAGCATGGGATTATCCCAGTTAAAAAGTGCTTGGAACTTACAACCAAAAGCTCTAGGTTTGAGGTTCTTTTCTTCATCTTTTTTTTTTTTTTTAAGATTTTATTTATTTGTTAGAGAGAGAGAGTGTGGGCAAGAAAGAGAGTAAGCAAGGGCACAAGCAGGGGGAGCTGCAGGCAGAGGGAGAAGCAGGCTCCCTGCTGAGCAACGAGCCCGATGCAGGACGCGATCCCAGGGCACCGGGATCATGACCTGAGCCAAAGGCAGACACTCAACCGACTGAGCCACCCAGGTGTCCCGAGGTTCTTTTCTTCTAATATATAGTCTCAGTTTTCTCATTTGTGAAAATCTCACAGGCCTGTTTTCAGAAAAATTTAGGTGGCATATGGAAACTGCTTTATGGATTAACAGGTATTATACAAATAATAACAATAATAATAAATCATAGCTAATCCATAATAATAAATTAGTAGCTGTATGGCCTCATGCTGTTCACATTTAAATCTACATTTGATAATAGCTTTAACTATAGGTTGTCTGGGTGGCTCAATTGGTTAAGCGTCTGCCTTCAGCTAAGGTCATGATCCTGGGGTCCTGGGATTGAGCCCCACATCCCTCTCTCTGCTCACCAGGGAGTCAGGGAGTCTGCCTCTCCCTCTCCATCTGCCTTTCTCTCTCCATCTGCCTCTCCCCCAGCTCATGTTCTCTCTCTCTCTGAAATGAATAAATAAAATATTTTTTAAAAATAAAAGCTTTAACTATAAAAAGTACAGTGTCATGGTATTCAAGACTCACCTGTATAATGATAAATTATTTCTACCTCCTAGAAGATCCAGTTACTTTCTTCTTAGCATTCATGTCAGCATTCTGAATTAAGGTCAGGTTCAACAAACAATGTCAGATTCCACAGATGTGGAAGAGTAAATATTTGTTATGCAACATTTGTTTTAATTGTTCCCCAATTCCCAAAACAATTTAAAGTTAGAATGAAAGATCTGTAGAATGGAGGAACTTCTGGTGCATTAGGGACAGTGTCCCACAGACCCAATTAAGAATGGTGCTGGGAATAAATTGTGCTTGAACCACAGCTCAAAAATGAAATGACATTCTCCTACCCATGTAATTCTTGGAAACAGGGGCAAAGATTCACAAAACTAACTTTATGAAATGTGAGAGTTTTTTAGTTTAAAATAGCAAAGTTAAATCAAAGTAAGATCTTAAGTCAAGTGATAATTACCAAAATGGAATGCTAGAATTGAAAAATGATCTAGATATTATGAAATACATGAAGCAGATATTTGCTATGAATTAAATGTATTGTCATTATTTGGGGGGGAATGAAAAAAATACATACATGCAATAAAATTAATAAATTTTTAGGACAAAAGTGAAGTCATATGTTTAAGGCCAAAAAAAAGTTTTTAAAAGTCCAGAACAGATAGCTTGGAGCATGAATTCAGATAAATGGATAGCACATTATTGATTCAAAGTGTTTCAGAAAGCCTATTGAGCTATATTATAGATGTTAACACTTAGATTCGGACTGTAATTTTCCAATAGATGTTACATTTCGCTGTAAAGTATCTAGATTCTAGAGGGCCATTTTGAGAAGGCAGACCCATGCCCAAGTAAGAAACTCAAAGACCATGGACTATGGTTCCAGCTACTGACTCAGAAACAGCCCTGTCACCTTGTAAATTTGGCTACAGTCCTATTTGGCCTTGAT